GTTCCTCCCCTTTGCTTTCTCCCACCTCCCTAATCTATCACCAATGGATTTCCTGTAACCCGCTTAAGTATTTTCCTTTTGATGGTGATTTATAAAAACAAGGTATGAACTCCCCATTCTCCGATTCTGCTTCCCGGCATCATAGGTCCACAGTTTGGCTCAAATACACGCACTAAATTCTTTACAGGTGAATGTTTTTACCTTAACATCCCCTTCAGGGGGTGAGACACACCCCGGGCCCATCACACCCTAATGAGGACCTGGGGTAGCTGACAGGCCAGACTGGAGTGACCGGGACAGGAAGCCCCCCCCTTTCGACTCCCCACCCCACCCCAGGGCTTGGCCTCTCTCTGCTGGGCTTCAGTGCAACCTGACACTCCCTTAGCAGGGACGCCCAACAGGAACACAGCCAAACTCAACTTTGGGGAAAACGAAACAACCAGAAAAAGAAAGCACCACTGAGGCCCCGTTATCCTGGGATCCGCATCCTCAGGCCATCTGCTCCGCTCCGACACCATGAACCGCATATCCGAGCCCTTCTTCTCTGGCGCCCGCGCCGGAGCGTCCCCATCCTACGAGGTGCTCAAGGAGGAACACGAGGTGTCCGTGCTGGGGGGTCCCCAGAGCTCGATGGCAGCGAGGACGACGGTGATCAACATCCAGACTGACACGGTGGTGCCCGACCACATCGTCTGGTCCCTGTTCAACACCCTCTTCTTCAACCCCTGCTGCCTGGGCTTCGTGGCGTTCGCCTTCTCCGTGAAGGTGGGTGCGGGGGATGGGGGGGAGGCAGGGGGACTTCCTGGAAGGCGTGTGCGCCCCACAGGTGTGCTGCCCAGATGACCCTTGGGATTGAGGAGTCCACGTGTGTGTGTTTGTGTGTGTGTGTGTGTGTGTGTGTGTGCAGGTCACGGTGAGGCTGCCTGGGGACGGCAGGGTCAGCCTTTGTCCCCTGGACTCCAAGGAATATCCTGTTGATCAGCCAGAAATTACACTCCTCTGACTCACCATGTGGCTTCAGGGCTCTGGCTAGAAAACAAAAGTTCTCAGAAAACCCTGAGCCCTGGTGGGGAAGAGGCCAGCAAAGGGGCCAGGGCAGGGGGAGAGGAGCCCTGAGGCCCTGGAGAGGCTGAGAGGCTGGGAGGGAGGCCCCCCTGGCCTGTCCTGCTCAGGCTCCAGGGAACAGGGAGGGGGTCGCTGACCTGGCTGAAGGCAGGTGGAGGCTGGTCTGGGCAGGGAGCAGCCAGAGCCCGGCCTGAGTCACAGCACCCGGCTGTCCCCAGGGCCCGTCCACACCCCTCACCATCTCTTCTCCCCCAGTCTAGGGACCGCAAGATGGTGGGAGACGTGATTGGGGCCCAGAGCTATGCGTCCACTGCCAAGTGCCTGAATATCTGGGCCGTGGTCCTGGGCCTCCTTGTCATAATTGGGATCATCATCGCGGTCGTCGTATTTTACACAACTGCACTGAATCGCGGCTACGTGGGTTCCTATCACCTGCCCCAGGACTGAGGCCCTCCCCCTTTCCCAGCTGCTACTCGCACCTGTGCACAATGGAGTTCAATAAAGCACATGTCTGTGACAACGCTGTCTTTCCTCCTGGGGAGGGTCCTGTGAGAGCCCTGCCTGCCCCTGGGACTGAGCCCACCACCACCTGCCCCCTGCCCGCTGCCCAGAGGTCAGGAGGGGCCTGGATCCGAAGCCAGGAGCGGCCAGGCCATCCTCCCTGAGGGAGCACATCTGTCCTGCTCTCGGCCCTCGACCCGCCCCGGACCTGACCCGGGACAGGCATGGTCAGGAGTGTCCCCCCCGCCACTGCCCCTGCCCCTGCCCCACCTCCCAGTCTGTCTCCAGGCTCTTCCCAGAGCATCTGGGGCATCGCCAGTTACGCCTCAACTGCTCAGCCCGCCTCCGCCCCTCCCACCTCCTAGCCCCGCCCACACGCGTGACGCCCTGGAGGCGGTGCTTCACCTCTCCCGGCCCTTCCCACTGAGCCCTCACGAGGCCACGCCCACACAAGTGGCCACGCCCACCGCTCTCCTGCCCCGCCCACCGCCACTCAGTCCCCGCGTTTTCCCACCTGCCTGCCTGTCAGCC